GCCGGGGCTGATTACATGCTGATTAAAAACTACTTAAGAATCTCGTCTGTCCAAGAAGGGGATAAAAAGGCCTGCAGTACAAGGGAAGTGCTTGTCCCTATGTATCTCCTTGCAGTGGTATTAGTGCATCAGCTGCTAACAGCAGGCATAGATCGACTCTGCTTTGCACATCAAAGGGAATGCAGGATGCAAAAGGAGGCTGATGTGTCTGAGCTCAGTCAGAATTAGATCTGGAATGACCAGAATTAGACCTCTGGTGAATTAATACCTCCGATGAATGAATATCTTCCCTTCCTCAGAAACTGATGAATTTGGCTAGGAAAGCATAAAAGCAGTGTTGGGGGTAGGTGGGTGGTTGGACTAGATGATCTTAGAGGTGTCTTTTCCAACCTCAGTGATTCTGTGATTCTAAAATCTGCTGTGTGTGTGTGTCTCATTAGGTCAGAAGTAAAATAGAGCTGCGTTCACCAAAAGACTTGAAAATATATACAGGCCTGCTGGGACCTCCCCTAATCTTTCCCGCATCATTGGCTGGGACGCTAATTCAGCTAAATGCAAACTTCTGGAGAGATTTCAGTAAGCCTTAAATGGTCCTTTGCTTACAAAAACAGCAAAGCTGAGGCGTCTGGGACAGCTATGGACACTTACAGCCAAATATCTGCCACTGACTTTCCTATATTTTCATATAATTTGGTCTTTCTTACTCAAGGATGGCTTGCAACTCTTTCTTTACTGAGTTTATAGTGTTTCAAAATTGCCAAAATAGGGGCAAATGAGCTTTTGAAAATGCAGTACACTGTGACAGCCACGATCAGTGTGAAATTAGTGTGTCCAGGTAAAGCGTTCTGTGAGAGAATAAAGGACAGCAGAGCAAAGAGGAAATATTTTCAGTTCAAAATTATAATTAGTAGTAGCGTTGAAGAGATGTAGAGTATGTTTCAAAAAGCAGTAATATCTAAATAAGTAAATACAGTGTAAAAAAAATGGATTTTTCAACAACGTCCAAATATCCTAACAGCTTGACTGTCAGGCTAAAATCCATGTGTATGCCTGTATTGTTAAATATGTGTGGATTGTAATATTTGTTTTTAACAGAAATTATACAGTGCTGCTACCTGTGATGGCATGCTCTTGACCTTGGTGACAATGATGTTCCCATTTACCTGTATGTATAGGTAATATAAAAAATTATATACATATTATATTTTTATTTATATATATATATTCATATTTATATTCTATATATAATGTGTGAATATAGACACACGCACACACATATATAGAGGTCTCTCTCTCTATATATAGAGAGTCTATATATATATATAGACCTCTCTCTCTATGTATATAGAAGTGTAGCAATACTTCAATAAGTGCCAAAGCTGATGGCAGATCAAGTCTTTGTTTCAGAGCTGTGTTACTGCTATGGGAAGCTCTGCTGACACTTATGAATGCCAGTCATCAAAACACTCTCACATGGTTCTGATAAGCCTAAATAATGCTCTTTTATAGTCAATGTCACTGTCACCGTGGAGGGCACAAAAGTCATCTTTTAAATTCGTTCCTCAATGTAATCTGAATGCGCCTGTGTTGTCTACCAGGCATTTTCTGAACACAGTCAAATAAATTTGGTGTCAGCTGCCATGGGAACTGTCCTGAATAATCTCATGTAGAATAACACAATTCCATATTTCAAACACATCTATATGGTTGCCAACCTAGAGATTCGTGGCAGGGTTTTGTGTGCTAAATTGGCTCTTTTTTCTTTCTTTCTTTTTTTTTTTTTTTTTTTTAAACTTTGAGGCCGTGCTGAGTGTTGCTGCCTGGTCTGTTGGTTGTGGGGAACAATGGCTCAGCATCGCAGACAGGTTCTTGTAGAAGCTCTGGCAATCCTGGGAGCAATATTCACACCTCTCGACTTGCTTACACTGGTGCTTTCCGGGCCTCAGAATGCATGTAAGCACACTGTGTTGTCTGATTTGCCTCCCAGATCACTAGATTAGATGCACAGGCAGCTTCTACTCCTTCACAAGAGCTCTCTTTAATGGATATTTTGTATCACAACAAACATTTTTAATAACCAAAAAATGTTCTTAGGAAAGTTGGAGAGTTTTCCAAGCCTGGATTACACTTTAAGCCTTCAAGGTATTGAATCCCAGAGATTTGATTCAGCAAAGCAGTTCTGGAGCTAATCATGTGCTTGAAAGTACACAGTTATTTGGCGTTGCTTTGCTGAATTGATCAGCAATATGTTGTGATCTGAAGTTTGAACCCACAGTGGGAAAAGGAGGCAGGGTGACAGGGAACAGGCAGGCAACCAACCTGAAAAACAGCCTTCATCTCCAAAATTACATTAAGATAGTCTGGCTTCCTATGTGATAGAGTACTTGTTTCTGTGACAAGAGGCTTGGGTGGGTTAAGTGAAGTAAATGCTTAATATAAAAGACATTTGAAGCCATAAAGCACTGGTTATTCAGCACAGCATTTTTCTGCTCCCGGGGACAAGTTAACAAAGGTGTAGCTCTGCCAGAGGATTTTCAAAGACAGCTAAACAAACAAGCAAACAAACAAAGCCTCTCTATTAGAAATGTTATCTGTTTCAGTGAAGTTCTATGACCTAAAAAGCTTTACTTTAGGCAAAGAGCCTTAGCACTAGCTCCTGCAGTAAGGAGAGTGGAGGATTTGGGTCATTGTTCCTAGAATTAACTGATGTGACCTGGTGAGAAGATATGAAAATAATCTTGTCAAATCCTCACCAGGTCATTCTCAGCTACTTTCAGACTTACTATGGGCTCCTGCAACTGGAGGTGTGAGTCAGACTGGCTCGAGTCACTGAAAATATGTGAATATCTGAGAAACTGTTGTAAGAAGTTCCTGATGCAAGCTCTGGGGTAAGAGGCTGCAAATCAGAGTTGTATTACCATGTACATGGAGCTCAGGCTAGGGGTCCTGCAAGGATAAAATACTTAGCAAACAGAAAGACAGAGTTGCCCTATGGATTATAATGAATAAGCATCAAATCTTTTTTTTTTTTTTTTAAGAGATTTATTAAGCATATCAAAGTATCCAGAAGGTATATTAGAAGATGTTCAGGACCTCCTATTAACAACACCTTTCTTACTGAACATCCATAGATATATTTGGCAGAAATAAGGAACATTATTAAAAAAAAAAAAAAAAAAAAAAAAACAAAACAGCAACAAAATGCTAAATATATTGTACAAATTCTGGTTGTTTTGTTTTGTTTTTCCAAGAAATGCAATATAAGAAATAAATTCAAGTCCTACTGTTGTCAATAGATAAAGACCATTATTCTTCAGTGGAACAAAAGTTTTCACTGTAGGACTTTTCTATCAGATATGAGTGATCTCTATTTAAGAGGACAGTGTATCTGGGGGAAGATTTTTACAAGTCATTCTTCATAGCATGTATGTAAGTGATAATTAAATACAGTTATTGTGTGATAAAGACATGGGAGGAAAAAAAAAAAGACGACTTTATTTGATCACATATGGGTTCCACTGATGCAGAGAAAGGTGATAGCTGGCCTATGGACAGCTGATACCTTCAGGTTTGGGTCTTCTACCTCCAAAGTCTCTGTTTTTATCTGTCTACTTGGAGCTAAACTCGAAAACACTTATGATTCAACTATGGGATGCCATGCTCAGCATCCACAGCTCTCAGGCAGTGGCTGCTTATTACAAATTATATCAGTGCTTGCTGTCAGACCCCAGATCAACATTATCACCAGCAGAGGAGAGATTCCTACATGGCCTTAGCTCCACTTCTGCAACATTGACCTGGGGAAGCAGTATTTCCTGCAGCAGGATAGCTGAGGCCACCAGGTATCTATCACCATTGGTGACAGGTGGATGGTTGGACTGGATGATCTTATAGGTCTTTTCCAACCTTAGTGATTCTGATTCTGTATATTGCAGCACCAGCAATGGGATGGCCACTGGCTGGGAGGAGGCAGCTGTGTTCAGATTCCTTCCAGGCTGAATGCACAAAGTTCCAGCTCTAGGACAGTTTTTTAAATCATTAAGCCTAAATAGAACAATGCACAAAGGAGGCAGGCAGTGGTTTAATGCACACTTGCTGGTATTTTCTATTTTCCAGCAGTAGGATGCCTGTGCTCACCTGGCAGGATGTCAGCTCCCTTCCTCAGCTGCTGATTGCTTTCTTCTGTATATGGCCAAGGCTCCTGACTCAGGGCAATGGATCCCATTTCAGCTATAGCATGTCTAAACTTTATTCACTGACTTGATGCCCATTTCAGTTGTACGGTTAACTAATTGTAATTATTGCTTCACCAGGGTGTTGTAAAAAACTAAAAACTGTAAGGCACTTAAATATTGGTAATATGTGATCTCATAGGAGAAAAACAAACAAACAAACTTGAACAAAGTTTAAGAAGTTTAAGACTAAGTTTCTGCCCTTCCAGACAAATGACCTGGAATAAGGACTCCTGCAGCATGTTAGCTTGATGCATTTCCCCTGAAAAATGCTATTTTGCTAAATGCAGAGGTCCCTGATAAAGTCCATGATCAAGCTACCATGAGCCACTCCGAGTCAGCTCCTTCCTAGCATGCTCTGGCCACAGGGACAGGCTGCTTTGCTGCTAGAACAGGCACGTACTGCCCTTGTGTGTTCAGTTGGCTCTAGCTTGTGTATTTAAGATGAACATCTGGTCTATTTTCTTTTTCCATGAGATAGAGGTGGTACCAAGTTCCTGGGATAATTCTGATGATGCAATCAAAAAGTCAGAGTGTTTGGACTGCCTGGTGAGTAGATCCAGCCACCACAGTGCTCAATGCAAAGCCCTTAGAAGCTGGTGGAAGGGCTCAGCATTGACCCTGATGGTCATTGCCCTTTTCACCAAACAGGGAATAATAGTAGGGTAGTGGTTACAGGCCCTCTGGAAAATGGGAAATATCTGAAGAAAAATGTTTTATATGCTTTGGTACGTGGATGGATACTGCTCTGTGTGTCCCAGCACTTTATAAGAAACTAAATTTGTTTCTGTTCTAGTCTTCTCTTAAGACAAAGAAAACACATGGCAAAGTACAGGGCAAAATTTAGAAAATCTGATGTGATTTCACAGCTAGTGCCAACATAAGCAACGTGGAGGTAATTCCCTGTCCAGACAAGAGAACAGGTTTAAACTTCATTTGTGCCATTTGCTTCTTTCTTTAGTCCTTCTTGTTCCTCTCTCAGAGGTTCCAACTCAGGTCCATCCTGTACGTGTTCTTTGTTCCAGTTATTTCTGCCTTCGTTTTCTGTCCTTACAGGCTTAGTATCCTCTTCTTTTGCCTTTCTTTTCTTCTCTTCCTTGGCAAGCATACGGTAATTATAGTAGTTCATGATGAACAGGAATGTTCCTGCCAGGACCATCACAGCCCCACATTTAATGAACATATATTTATAGTCCCCAAAAGTATCGATAAGTGTTCCTGTAAAAGACATAAAAAAAAAAAAAAAACAAAACAAAACTTAGAGATGAAAGAAGGACTATTGTGTTATCGGTTCCTATCTGTAAAAGGACACCCTTGTGGCTTTAGGATAAAATAAAACATTCTCAGTACTTCTGATCTCTTCCCCAAGCACTCTGATCCCACAGATACTTCACACGTGCTCTACTTTACAGCCCGTGGGTAGTTAACGTTGATGTAGGTAACACTACCAGAAGTTTGTACAATAAAGTGGAATGGGATAGTGGCAGCTTTCTGAAAACTGTGTGTGAGATGGCACCTGGCCACTGGGTCTGGTCTCAGACTGGTGACAAAGACCCATCAGTTTGTTCCACCATGGGTCGTTCTCCAGCATTGGAGGGGACTCAGCTTTTGGTCACAGCTGCCCTTTCTGCGTTTCTACCTGTGATCTGAGGATTAAAGTGCGCCGTGTGGAACTGGAAAATATTAGTTCCAGGGAAAGCAAAAATGATGCTTTCAGTGTCAGATAATTTCAATGCCAAGACAAATGTGACAGGTTCCTTTGAAAGGTTAATGCCTCTGTTATGGAGTAACAGAGTAATTGAAGGGAGATGGCTTAATTGAAATGTCAGTATTCTCTATTATGTCAAAACGTAATGCAAATCTTATTGGGATTATGATCCTAAGCATTAATTCCCACTTACTGGAGCATCACGGACCATTCATAACATCCCAGATCCTAATTAAAGAAAGACCCACTCCTAACCTGGCATTCATAGTGCAGATAGACCTCCTTGAAACTGGCCCATCATCCATTAGCTCTCTGACTTTTTGGAATATGTTCTCCTCCTTAAAGTGAGGGATCTTAATTACTTCCTGACTGACCCTTGACGTGAAAAGCTGATGATTAATTATCCCACTGCATAACACTAACAAGGGATTTTGTGGCCACCAAATACATTTCCTGATCACAAAAAGAGTAGCTTTCAACTGTTTTTGGTCACCAGTTCTTCCTGAATCACTCTTAGATGTCTTCATACACTGTTTTCAACGCACAGTGCATTTCATTTGGGTGATGAAACATCAACCAAATGTTAATTGCAATTTTTTTTTTCCTTTTCTGCTAATCAGGATGACCTAGAGGTCTCCTAAATAGGTTTCAATGAGAGTTTTAATGAGTAGAGTATTGGAAAATACAACAGTAGGATACCTACCTCTTTTCCTTTGAGAATAAGATAAAGCCATAAAACACACTGGGAACAATTTACTTAGTTCATTGAAGCAGAACCCTGCAGTAGGTTATTAAAATGCCAAAGAACCAATAAATTTGCTGCTTATTAAAGTAGCAGGGAAAACCCTACAAAACTAATATTACTGATTATTACATAGAACTGCTTTAGCTTCATTAGCAGTCTCTGGTCATTAAGTTATTTTTTCCACACGGAAAACTATGTAGCTCAGAAAATGTTCATTTTTAAATTGTGTTTTCTGTGTTTGTCATTAATTAAATAATGAATCTCTAAGACAGCAAGAGGATACAGCTGCTTTTGTCACACTGGATGAGCTACATGGTAATATGAAAAATTGAAAGGCTCTGCATCGCTCCCCAAACTGTTGACTTCAGCTCCAGTACTACACAGAAAGGAGTAGAGGAGAATTACTGGATGAGACACCTAAGGTTGCCAGCAGAAGAAAGGAGGGTGGGAAGAAGAGAAAAAAAAATATTTTGAATCACTTCTCACAAACTGTGCAAGCGAGAAGTTACATAAAAACCCTTTGGGGGAGCAACTACCCAGTGAAAGCAGGAGGAGGAAGGGCACTCACCTCCGATGGGTGGTCCCAGCAATATTGTGCAGCACTCCGCTATGGTGACCAAGCCAACAGCGCTTGTGAAGCGGGAAGCTCCCACGAGGTCCATGAGGGTTTCAAAAAGCATGGCACAAACCATGCCGAAGGCCAAGCCAAAAAAGACAGAGTAAATGACGAGCCCTGTGTAGCCAGAAGCCAGTGGGCACAGAAGATGGCAAGTGCCATTGAAAGCAATGGAGAAGCTGAAGAAGTATTGAATCCGTGGCCTCACCCACTTGCTGTTTGCAATGATGCCAGTGGTCGGCCTGGCAACCATATCCACAATAGCAAGAATTGAAAGGAGGAAAGCAGCTGAATATTCATCAATGCCAATGTGCTTTGCATAGGGTGCCAGAAAAACAATGGGGGCAAAGAAGCCCAGGAACATGAGCACATTTCCAATCAGGTAAATCAAGAACCCTCTGTGCTTAAAGAGGGAAAAATCAAGGTACTTATTGACTTTTTCACAACAGTCCCTTTCTTCCTCCTCTTCTGTTTTGGTCTCCATATGGATGTTAGTGGGACTGTTCATTTCTATGGCATCCTTAGTGACTTCTTCTTTCAGGACCTCCTTCCCTTCCTCAATCGACTGGGTTTTGACTGAGACTTTGTCTGCACTGATGGGTCTGAAGAGAGCTCCAGCAACACAGCAGTGTAATAAAATTGCCCCAAGAATTAAAAAGCTGCCTCTCCAGCCATAATTGTCAAAAAGGAACTGGTTGAGAGGAGCCAAGGTGCAAAGCATGACAGGGCTCCCTGCCATAGCAAGGCCATTGGCGATAGGTCTTCTCTTCAAAAAGTATCTCCCTATGATTATCACTGATGGCTGAAGGTTGAGAGCGAGTCCCAGTCCTGAAAGAAAGAAAAACAATAGAGATATACAAAGAAAGCTTTGAGACCCTTTGTGTCTTCAAATCATTGTTCTAGGCAAATTCATGGAGAACCAGTAGCTCTTCACTATGAAAGGCTGGTGCTAACCACCAAAGCACATCCTTCTCATGCAAACTGCTGCCAGCGCTCCCCCCATGGGTAGTGGGCACCAGACGTGCCCAGAAAGGTCACATCAGACTTCCCAGATGCTCCTCATTTGGTGGCGTGAGCGAGCCGTGTCTGATGCATAAGATTAAGAGGTCTGCAAGTACACAGCAAAACAGCTACTGAGGATACCAATTACACAGGACCGTAGAGTGTTTCTTCTAATTAAAATTTATTTTTACTACATTTAGATATATAAATGATATTATAAATCTGCATTGCTAATCCAGCTTCTCTTGCACAGCTAAAATCTGAAAGAAACACCAAATGCAGTGATGGCCTCACTCTGTGGTTCTATTTAAGAGCACTAGTGAATGTTAATCTGTTCTTTTTACACATTTCTAACATTTGTAGTATTTCCTTAAAATATTAAATTTGCAAAACTCCATCAAAATGACATTTTAAAATTATGCCACATATTTTTCACCCTATCATCTAGGAAAGAATGAGCCACATTAGAACAAAGCAGAAGTGTAATCCTTGAAGTGATTATGCCAGAGAACATGAATCCTGAAAATAGGGTCATGCAGATTTTTTTCTCGTTCATTAGTCTATATAATTAGTTTGTTTAACTCTGCAGTACATAATTAGGCATATTGCTTTACAGAAGAGAATTTAGAAAGGTCAAGGTCCTCAAAATTAATTAAGGAATGCTATCATTAGTCACTGATAGGGTAGAAACCAACTGATGCAGGAGAATTTGACTGATGTTAGCTTAAATTTGAACAGTTTTACAAAATTATGCTTTTTGCTAAGTCTCAGATGTGTATTTTTTAATTACTTGCAAGTTCACAACACCAAAAAGAAATCAAAAACACATCACTGAAACTAGCCTTGATAGGAAACAGATTCTCAATATGAATTTCTGGTTCTGGAGAGCCCATGCATTTGGTAGGTCATTAGGAAATATAGCTTATTCCTAATTTATAAGGGATGGGGTTCATGCCTATAAGGAGGACTGACCCAAAAACTGTGAAGGCAAAAGACAGCATTGTGAGGGAGCACAGCTGGAAGTGCTAAGAAATGGGAATTATTTTCACCCAAGAAGATGCAGCACAGTAGACTAGAATCTGCTTGAAGTCCTTATTCCCAGGCTGGTAGATATGTGCAAATATTGAACCATCTTTTTTGCAGAATCTTTTTTAGATCTATTCCATATCGTGAGGTGAAGGAAAATCAGACTGGATGCCAGCTGCCCACTTAGCCAATAATCAACTTGAATCTTTTATTATATGAACATTAATTTGCCAGTCAGACAAATCTAATTTAATATTACATCATGCTCTTCCCATTAATTAAATTTGGAGAGTTTCAAATTGGCTGACTGGAATTTCAATTTACTTTAACCTTTTGGCTGGCTTAGGTGGAAATATTTATTTCCATTTTATTCCAGCTTTTTGAAACTATAGTAACTTCACTATGATTGAAGTTGTTACTCAAATAACCACATTTTCTCCCCAGGAATATGACAGAAAGGTCTATTGATGGTGTTGCATGAACAGAACCAAGCCCATGCTTCACTGAACATCCTTTCCTAGATTAAATTCATCTTCCCCAGAAGGAAGTAATGGTGCTGCACGAGTGAGATGAGTAGCTATTGATCTTGTTTTTCCTTTATTAGTAAGGGAAGACCCAACCAGGTATTTAAATGCTCAGCCTCAAGAGCTGAAGCAAAGACTCAAGTTTCATATTTCCGTGTACTTCACCCTAGATTCCATTTTATTTGATGATGGCCCTGTTGATAGAGATTAAACTGAAATCAGAACCAGTCCATATTGGCTTGTGTTTAGCTTTGAAATCTGCTTCTGCTACCTCAGTTAGGTGCCTGAACATCTACCCAATGTGTCCAGGCTGGCATCCATCCAGACCCACAGCTTGGACGCCCCATTTCTTTGTCTGAGTGCTATTGGGAAACAAGCAATTAGTGAGGAAGAGAACCTGGGTTTTACAGCACGTGCAGGGAAGTGCCTCATGCAGCCCACAGCTGGGACAGAGCTGCTTCAGAGCTGCCTCCATCAGCAATCTGACAGGAGCCTGGCCCCTGCTCTGCATACAAATGGAAGGAGACAAAAAATCAAGCAAGCAAGCAAGATTGCCTTGTCTAATCCCTGTACTGTAAACAGGCACTTCCCGCTCTGCTCCTCTGAAGAGATTTCTATCAACGTGCCACAGCCACAGGACTGAGGTGGAGACCTCCCAGTACCAACTGTCCAGTTGTGCCTCCATCCCTGGGCATTCTGGGAACACAGACCTTGACATCAGCCCAGAAAGGAGGCTGGAAAATGTGTGATGTTTACAGGCTGCTTTTTAGCAAATCACCCCTGCAGAAGGCTCTCTTCTCGTACAGCAACACTGTCTCGTGTGATGAGCAGGCAGCTTCCTAATTGCCCTTGAATGCTTCCATGTTAGGCCTGACCAGCAACAGCACTTCAGGCATAATTAGAGGCATCAAGCACGTTAGCAGGATTACAAACCTCTTCCTCTCTCCGTCAAATTAATATTCCTTCCCCCGCACAACACCATGCCTGGAAATGATGGGTTATTAGCTAAGACCTCATCCATACAGCCACCCTCATATGCAGCACACAGGAGGGAAGGCATCTCCAATGAAAAATGTGCATCTCTCTGAGGAAACATCCCAGCTCTACCAACAAGGATTTAGGGTTTCCACGTGCTCATCCAGCATTAGGTAGCTTGCTAGAGGATGCTGTTTTTTGTTGGGGAATAACACAAGTCCATGTATCACTACATTTTGAGATGGAATCCTACATGAGGGTTTGTTCAGTACTCTGCAGATTTGATAAAGCAATGCGGGTCCATCCCGATTTGCCTTGGTAGTGCCTGGTTTAATTGATTTTAAAGGGTGTAGTCACACTTTTCACGCTCAGAGAGCAGCAACACCTCATGTGTCTGCATTGAGCCAGGGAATGCTGAGGTAAAGCATATACCTTGCAACCTCAAAAGCCAGTTTTGAACTACTGGGCCTATGCATTCTCCTAATAGGGCTTCCAACATGGAGATTCATATTTCACTACAGAAAATTCAAAGGATAACTTTAATAAGAAAATATAATTGTTGTGGGTCTAATGTATATTATTTTCAGATAAAGACTTCCTAACCTGGCACGCAGGCAAATGCAACGTAAACCAAAACAACTCCCTCTAATTTCATTTCATATGTCTCACAGAGGGAAGGTAGCACACAATTCCATCAGAGCACGGGTGCGATCTTCACAGATGCATTTGTACCTGGGAGGGCTTGCCCTGCCCTGGGCAGAGCACAGTCAGCCTGCATTGACTTCAGCAGGAGCAGAGTGGCCCATCCTCACCATTGCCGCTGGCTGACAGCACTCAGCTGCAAAGGAATACATCCCTGCACGCGATGGTCAGCCAGGGACATGGAGCTAAACTGGGAACAGGCTTCGTGCTAAAGCTCAGCTGCTGCAGTCAACAAGCCAAGAGCCCCCTGCCAGCTTTGCACCACCACGTTCCCATTGCCTTTAGCCCAAAGGAGGATGCCCAAGCCATCAGAAATGAATTTCAAGTGTGAGTCAAAAGGAGATGCTTGCTTCTTACCTGTAATGAAGCCCACGCAGATGTAGAGCTGCACAATGCTGGTGCAGAAGGCAGCTGAGACCATCCCAATGCCACACAGCAGGCCTCCGAGGATAACCACAGGTCGGCTGCCATAGCGGTTCACTAAAATGCTGCTAATGGGACCTGGGGAAAGAGAGAAATGAGGTCCTTGAAGTGGGAGTGTCTGACAGAAGGCAGGTAAAACCAGCAGTATCAGTACCCCTGACAGCTTCCAGTGTAACTTCAGGAAGAAAACAGAAAAAGAAAGTTGATGTGCACTGCGTGGGGATGGCAGTGTGTCCCATGCCACACAGTGATGATGACAGTCCCTGCCCCAGGAATGAACAGCTTCATCACAGCAGGCAAACAGCGATACTGGGTGAACACACAACCCCAGCACAGGAGCTCCATGATTTATTAGGATGCTAAACCACACACACAAAGCAGTGGTTCATATTATGAGGCTGATATCATGAACATTGTTGCATTTTTAATGTCTCTACTTAATGCAATTCCGATACTGCTGACCAGGATTGAAGCTTGAGCAGAACAGTTAATTAATTCTTAATAGCAGCCTCTGTCGGCAGAAACAGTTCGGGATGATGGATGAACTGGTTCCAGGGAACCAGTTTGGTCTTGTATTTATTAAAGAAGTGGTTCAGGAAAACATAAAATTATGAAAGAGAGAAATGGCCTAACAAGGACTGCAGATACCAAAAGGAAGCATTTAGATCTGAAGAAGTGAAACAAGACTGTGGCTTTGGGCAGAAGTTCTTGTTTACTGTAGCCCAAGTTAGCAGTAGGACCTGTAGAAATCAGAACTGCATGTGTTGGAAGGACTGTGGAGCTTTCAGGTCACAACTCCTGCTCGAAGCAGAACCTATTTTGCTGACTGGTTATCTAAGAAGAGCACAAAGCTCTCCCCTGGGGCAGCCTCCCTGAAGGCAGTGTCCAACCACACAGCTCCCTGCTCTCCTGAGCAGTCGGGGGGAGGGGGAGGATCTCAGGCAGGCTTTAGTGCAGATCTGGGTGACCTTCAGCTAACAGTCTTCATCTGCTATCATCAGCGTTATCAGCTTTACAGGGAGATAATCAGCCCCATTTGTTTGCCTGCCTGGGTGGAGAGCTGTAGTCTCAAAGGTGCTATCAGCCCAGGCTGGGCTGTGCCCACAGGGAATGATGAAGAGCTTAGGAGCAGCCTTAGTCTCTCTCCTTTGCACCCAGAAACCTTAACTTCAAGGCACCGTGAGTTTGTTTTGCTAAAGCAGCACAGCATATGGGATCACAATCCATGCTTGTGAGCAGCAGCACTTGGGCTCTCTGACCAATTCACCCACATCACACTGGTGCTGAAGACCTCAAAGATACCAACTGTAACCAGGAAGAGGAGAAAGCCAGGAGTAGGGCATCTGCTCTGAACCTTTCCAGACACTGGAGAATCCACAGCAAAGGTCACAACAAGTGCCCAGCCTGCAGGGAAAGCATCTGCCAGACCAACACCTTATGAGACACGGGAGAATCCAACACATGGCCTCAAACAGAAGGGAAACCAAACCTCCCTATGCTGCTCACAGGGCAAAGGTTTCATAACAGTCCTGAGCAGACCTTTTAAATGCACTGAAGCAAATCACGTTCTCCAAATTACTTCCACTTAAGTCATCTGGACCTACAGAAACGTAGAGGTGATTGTCCATAGTCTTTAAAGGAGCAGCCTTTTAGAAGCTGTCCCATCTCTCAGCAGAAACTCCAGCACGCAATATGTCACATAGCTGTGCACACTTCAGCACACAAACCCTGCCAGTGTGGGCACAAATCACAGACATGCACACCTCCACCCTGCCCAGGTGTCTGCAGCGATCATTGTCACCCCAACAGATGCCAAGGCACGGCTCCTGCCCTGCAGGACCCACAGCACACTGCTCATAGGGATCAGCCATCAGATGTGAGATCAGACAGCAGCGTTCTGGGGAGTTGAAGAGAACATCAAATAGCTCACGTCAGGGAGAGGAATTAAGAGGAGGGAACAACAAAGCCAGGACCGCAGTGGTGGGAAATGGGAAACAAGATTACTACTTTGCTTGCAGCTATTGCAAAAATTAAAAGTGTGACAGCATCTGGAAACAGAGTGGAATTGAAAAAACAGGACCTGTCATTTACCAGTTTTTCTGCATACATGAAAAGAATAAAGATGCTGTGCATTACCACACACAAACCTACTATGGGAATTTAGATCCCAAGGCACCTTTGCTTGCTCACACTGCCCTCAAACCCACTCCACCTGTCTGAGGAGCTAACAGGGATTGGGCTGATTTTGCTTCTTAATTGCAGAGCCAGGTGAGGACAGAACAAGAGAAATAGCCAACTAAGTGCCCAGAAAGCTGCCATTTGCCCAGCCTGACCTTGCAGAAGCTTGGCAAACGGAATGCTGTTGGAGTCCCTGAGAAGTCATTCTCAGGAGCAAAAGCCATCTTGGCTGCAGAGCATGTCCCCAGGCATGGCACCGTGGGGCCCTGAGCAGCATCACCAAGCCAGCATCCTCCCTACAGAATCCCCATCGCAGCAGAGAGCACATGGCAATTTCTAATGGGGAAATTGGAGGTAAGATTCAATCATTGCCTTGCACCACACTGTATTAAAAGGACGAAGCTGCTGACACTGGCTGCCAGCGGGGAGAAGGGGTGGCACATCTCACCCAGAGAACTCTTCAGACCATATATCCCCTGAAGATGCTGCTGGGACAATTGCACTCCAGGAAGGCTGACATCGTGCGGAGCGCCGTCCCCAGCTCATATAAATCATCCTGGTTTAGTGCCCTTCCTGCACAAAGCCTCTCCTTTCTCATACCTGTGACAGCTTTCCATCGGCTGTCAGCTGGGGCATGGAAAGCTGTGTCAGAGGTTGATCATGGCTGCATGCAGAGCACAGCAGCTCGCCGCTGGGAAAGCACGCAAGCCCCTGCCTCATTTGTTAGCTTGTCCAATTACTTTTCACCTTGAGTTTTGTGTTTGCAGAAGTGAAAAGGACCCTGAAGAGGAGACTGTAAAACCATGAAGAAAATGCAAAGTGCCCCGGGTTCTCCCCATCTCTCCCCCACAAAGTCAGGCCTTTTTGTCATTTCTTCTTCTTGAGCCACTGAACTATGGGCAGGCAGGATGTAAGGCAGACGTGGCACTTAACAAGAAATATCAATCCAGAGTGGCTTAAACTCCTGCAAGTGTGACAGTGCTCAAGAAATAGACACCTGAATTGCTTTTCTATTTTTCTCAGTAAGCCTTATGAATTTTTTATGGCCAGCAAAACTTCTAGTGTTGGTGCAAAACACCAAAGTATTTTTAACGAGCATTCTACTTCAAGTGTTCTTCTCTCCCTTACCTGTGACCACATACGTATTCCTCATTTGTATTTGTAAAGGCTGCTTTGTGATTTAATTTTATGTTTTAGCTTGACCAGATATTAGCAGCACAACTTTCCTCATCATCAGCGGAACCTGGCTGGGATGAACTGCTGCTGAAATATTTCTGCACCAGGGTCAGGCAGCCTTTAGTCGAGAAGCCTTTATGCAACGTGGGCTTATCCCAGGTTTCACAACAGTGACCTTCTGACCATGCAAACACCGTACAAATACCGCTACCAGGACCACGTGATGGCCGTGCAGGTGATAAAACAGCAATGCTTCAAAGTGCGCTCTGCGTGGGGCAGAGATGTGGGAGCAGCTGTGTCCCCAGGACTGGGGCTGCAAGCACAGCTCAGCTTTTCCCAGCTTTCTGAAGAGCTGTGGCTGTGCAGACGTTGGTCAGAGCTGCCCAGATGATAGTTTATGTTTTCCAATCTGCTGTGAAAACACAGATAATGTGCAGAGGCTCAGCCGGACAGGACTGGCGGGGGCTGTGTGGAGTCACTGGGGACAGAAGGAGGGAGCGTACCCAGCTGGGAGGAAGGGAGGAAAATCATTTATACTAATAAACCAAAGCCTATTATTACACCAGTAGTAAAACAATGGCAGCAGCAGGCCTGCAATTTCCTCAGTAATAATCTCATTCCCTTGGTGGGATAACAGCACTGCCATTGGCCTCGTAATTTATCCACCAGGGTACCAGGCCTTTGTAGCAGAGCAGCCTCCTCATTACCCAGGCAATGAAAGAAGTGCCCTGTGTTATTAACAGGCTGCCAGGACACACGAGGGGCTGAGGAGCACGTGCACCCACCAGACACATCCTTGGAAAGTCAACGACCCTACACATACATTTTGCACGGCAGCATCCTAAGGTTAAAAGAAGAAAAAGAAAAATAACAAAGCAGATAAGATCCAAGCTTGAGAGAAACAAAGCGTCCTCATCCTTATCCAGCAATCTTATCTGATCTGTGCCCTGGCATTTCAATTCCCAGCCCACACTACTGATGCACTGCAGAGCAGCCACAGGCCAAAAGCTCCAAAATCAGGGCTGGAGCCAAGGTCCTTTGTGTCATTTTGTATTTAAGCAATTAAATAACTGCTCCTTCAAGGGGACAGAACGGCAGGTGCTTGTGCTCAGTGCTTCCTTGGGCTGCTGGGTTGGACCCCAGCACATCACAGCTGCTCAACTTCAGAAGGTCTGGATTTCTGGATTTCTTTCACACGACTTTTGTAGCTGAGCTTTTACTTTGGCAGAACCACAGCTTTTTATCCCTTCCATCATGAAGTCCAGCTCCACATCAGCTCCCTACACATGTATTCCTTCAGATTAACTTCCCTTGCTCGGCCCTTTTTACACCCTACTCTACCTGGGCAAGTTCTCCAAAGTCTTTGTCTATCTACCAGAAGCTCTGCATAATTGGACTGAGAGAGTATGTATGTTGGATAATCAGAATCGTTAAGGCTGGAAAAAAACACTAAGATCACCAAGTCCAGCCATCCAGCCATCCCCACCATGTCCACTGACCATGTCCCCCATTGCCACATCTCCAAAGTTCTTGAACACCTCCAGGGATGGTGACTGCACCATTTCCCTGGGCAGCCTGTGTCAGTGCCTCAGAAAATTTCAGAAGAAATTTTTCCTAATATCCAATCTGAACCTTTCTTGGTGCAACTTAAGACCATTGCCTCTTGACAAGTTGGCATCAATTTTCTTGCACCCCTTCCTAGAGAAACACACGAACACATCCTGTACTGACCAAGGGAAGAAGCCTTCACACACATTAACTTCACATTTTGGAGTGAATTATTACTTACTCCTGGGCTTAACAACTGCCTGCAAAACATTAACAATTCCCCAACCAAAAGCAAAATCCTTTGCTTTCTTCTAGTTCATATTAATCTCTGTTTTTATTAAGTCTATCACATCTCTATTACTCCTGCCCAGTGACCTTTCTAGCTCCAATGAAGGACAAAATGATAAAGCTTTGTGACGAAGTTCACAAACACAGAAATATTTCACCCAAACCTATAGTACTATTATTGCTCCTAACCAGAACAGGGCTATTTAAAAAAATAAAAAATATAAGTGCATACATGGTGACCTTGCTGTGTTTGAGCACTTTCTGAGAGTCAGGAGAAGAATCCATAGCATCATCCATTATAGAAATCAAATCATCTTTCACCTGCTTTCCTTAACTAAATAATGATGCTGCTACCCCATGTATTGCCTCGGTGTGGGAAGATGCTGTGGTTCAATAATGTGGGGAAGCTCCTTCATCCCTGCTGGGACTCTGAGAGATGGCCACAGTGAGCAGAAGGATGGCATGATTCTATGAGCCAGCACTATACAATGGAGCACCTGGGCTTGGTCCCCAGTGTCTGCACGGCCACCACAGGTAACACTGCAGTGTGCCACTTGGGGTTCCCTCTTGCTTCAGCCTATGCAAAACAGCCAGGCAGAACAATGCACATCCAGTTACAAAAAGTGATGGAAAGACCATACTGCAGCCCCTCAAACATAATGCAGAAGGATAAGCCCTTTGCTCTTTAGAATCACAGAACCATACAATCATGAAAGTTGGAAAAGACCTCTAATATCATCTAGTCCAACTGTCACACCCCTACCATCAGTATTTCAGCAGGACACACAGAACACCGTCCAGTTCCACTGGTTGGGGCCCCTCCTGCCCTGGAGCTGTGGCTATTTTCAGGCAACTGAGTTGAGCAGAGAAACATGTGTGAGGTCTTCTGGTAGCAGAGAAAGTTTTGATGAGGTTTAGACCAGACCAGAAGGGAACATATGCAGCTTTGATTAAGTTAAGAACTGCAGAATCAAACTCATTATTAATATAGCTTGACGCCACTGCATGTTGTAAGGTCCTTTCTAAACCTGTCACTGCAATTTATCATGCCAGCAATGTAATAAAATACAGCTATAAAATTTTGGATTAAATGCTCAAGGTCAGCGGATGACTTTCAACTTCCCAATCTCTTGCTTGCTGCTGTAGCTGATGCTCTATTAAGCACTTATAAGCTCTGGGAGAAAGTTTCTTTGGAGAAAAGACTCAGTTGTGGGGCATCTCCAGAATTAAATCTTCAGATGTTTCATTCAATTTCAAAACAATAAATAATAAATAACTAGAGTAATGAATACTGGCTTCGGGATAAGGTTTTCACTTTAGAAAGACTCTGATTTTTGTTGTGTTTGCAAGAAATGGCTCCCTGTGCCTACCTTTGTAAGACAGGCAGGCGATTCCCTAATATCTGTAGAAATTTGGAGATGTACGAACAGCACCCTGGAGATCTGGGGAGTACAACAGCAGGCATAGCAAGGCAAAGATCAGGACTCAACTGTGCTCCATAGACACTAACAGCTAGTGGTAGTGTAAGGCATCACTTCTGCCCACAGTTCTCACCTCCTTAAAGCCTTAGAGAAACCCAGTGCTGCTACAAGAACATTGCTGCTATTTTATGCATAGGTTGCTCTGAAAGTAATGCCCTCTATTTATTCCTATGGAAATTACAGCAGATACAAAGAGCACAAAAGCACTATTTGATAGAGAAGAGCACGGGGCTGCCTGCTTTGCTGCACGCTGATCCATTTTACTGTTTGTTTGTGAGCGATGGAATTGTTTTCTGCAGCCTCACTGTGATTACAAAATGCAAACGCACGCTCTGTCTACAGCAAGGAGTGCCCCCCCAAAACAAGTCCCTGCATCAAAGAGTTTGCCAGGGAAGTGAAGGACTGATTCCTGGGGATGTTTGCAAACAACAGCTGCTATCTGCAGGGCATTGGGACTCCTGGGGTGCACTGCAGCAGGCTGATGGCACAGCATAGAGGACTGAGCAAGCTGCTCTCTTTGTCTGCTACATTTCAAGCGGAGCAGTGGCACCAAGACTTTGCTCTGGGTTGTAACAGGGAGGATCACAATAGGTTCTGAATTGAGCATTGCTTCCGCTTCACTATAAAGCATCATTACTTTCATTAACAACTCTTCCACATTGCATTATAGGGAAGAAAAATACACAATTTTGGTAACAAAAAACATTTCCAGGATTGATTTAATAACCAAGATAAATTCCAGTGATGTTTCCTGCAATCAGAGAGCATACTTTCTGTCTATGTCCAATTGCAGACTTTATTAAAGGCAGACCAAAGCTCTCGCTGAGTTGGGAATGTGCTATCACAATGCTTAAAAAAAAAAAAAAAAAAAAAGAGAGAAAGAAAAAGCAAAGTTGTGTACTACTTTGCAACTGATAAGAATGATTGACCCTTGTAATTCTATTGCTGTGATTATAACCCGCCACAAGAAACAAGCAGCTGCTCTCCTCTGTGCTCACCCTTGGCTGAGCCCCCATCATTTTATACTGCCGTAAGTTATCTGACTTCTGGACAGCAAAGCACCACTACCACCTCCAGCTACATACCCTGTACTGGCTGTACTTTGTTTGCATGTCAGAGGCAAGAGAAAAACCCCATCCCAAAGAAACACCCCTTCATTCAACTACGCTCTGCGTGTGGACACGTTTCCCTAAACAACATTGGAAAACGCAATTAGAAAATAAATTTGCTGATAAAGCAGCACAGATAGGAGCTGGTGCTTTCCTTGCGTGCTGCCCTAGAGCGGAGATATCCGACTGATATCTGTCTTACAGCAAACCCAGCAGATGGGGCAGGCGTACTCACCTGCGCCGTACGTCGTGGCCAGCATGATGGAGGAGACCCACGCGATCTCGCTATAGGACGTGCCAAAGAAATCCTGGATTTCTTTGTAGAAGATGGCTATGCCTTTGGGGAAGGCGTATGCAAAGCCGATAGAAATGAAAGCCCCGAAGACCACCACCCAGCCCCAGCCACCATCCGGGGGGCCGGCGACTGGCCCCGCATCGCTGTGGGGCGGCATTGCCACAGGACGCGAGCGGGCACCTGGTGCTCCTTGGGAAGCCCTGCAAAATAAAAGTGCAGATGGGCAGGGTCAGTGCTGGCGGTGCTCCCCAGGCTGCACTGACAGCACGGCCCCAGTGCAGCTTCCAGCTATTGATTTTTGGTGTGGCAAATATTGCAAATATCAGCTAGGGTTAATAGTGCATCTCTATGGTGTCTTGGGGAGTTGGCCAACACTGGAAATCCCAGTGGATGAAGCTAAGATTCAAAGTGATGTCTCCAGCCTGGAGCAGCCCCTAGTGGGAGTCCCCCAGGGCATCCCCAACCCCGTATGAGACCCCACAGCCCTACGCAGCACCCACCTGCAGGAGCAGCTCTGAGCTCTGGGCGGTGCTGGATGGGATGGGACAGCCTCCTGCACCACACCCCATGCTGAGCCAGCAGACCAAGCCTCCTTTACACATAATGCTGCTTTTTTTTTTCTTTTTTCCTCCTTATCTTTTGTTCCCTACCCCTACAGCACCAAGAACCAGCACCCAACCACCCTTTTGCGGTTAATTAAATCACCCATAGTAATTTAAACAGGAATTACTGTTTCTCCATGTTTCTATCAGCTTTCTTTCCTTCTCCTTACAAAGTTGTGCACTGTTCTCCTGTACTGCTACATCACAACAGTGCTTGGCAGATGGACACCCAATGTTTGGGGGAAATATCAGTGCTGTTTGCTCTTGCTAAAAAGTTGCAGTATTGCTGCCAGGCTCACGTCTTGCTCAGCCTTGCCTCCTCCTGGCTCAAGTAACAGCCTGATGGGTCTCAGAGGATATTTCTCAGCCCCAATTTTGTGCAAATTCATATGGATTTCATAGAATTGTAGAATTGTCTGAGTTGGAAGAGATCATTAGAGGCCATCTGGTCCAACTCCCCCACAGTGCACAGAGACACCTACAGCTCCATCAGGTGCTCAGAGCCCCATCCAGCCTGATCTTGGGTGTCTCCAGGGATGGGGAATCCACCATCTCTCCAGGCAACCTGAAATAGCCACCTCCATTTGTATACAAACATGAAAACTGGCATGATTTGGGCAGGTTTGTCCTTTGGGCTTCTCCAAGGACACGGGGAGATGGACCCACACAGCATTCCTTCTCATTTTATCACCACAAATTGCTAACTTCTGGCTCAGGTGCAAACATGCCAACCACTAATGAAATAAGGAGGAGATCCCCTCCTCCCTATCCCAGCCTCCCTCCAGCACTACTCACACAGCGTGTGCCACCATAAATCCCACTTTTGTACGCAGGCAATTAAGAAATAATGGAGAAGGGAAAGGAATTGTTGTCTGGCTCTGTCATTTTCCTGGTGCTGTTAAGCTTTAAAAATCCCCTTACAATACATCTGTAAGATGTTTTACACGTATTACAGCCATTCCTTTCTCCCTATAAAATTGAGTAAACTCAAGCAGAGAAGAGTCCTTGACTCCCAAGTGTGGGGCCACAGCACAGTGACCTGGGGAATTTTGTTGTGGTGCAGCCCAGCACTACTTTATGATCTTCAGGCATTCACACAGCCTGCTTTTATGGTGCAGCCCTGCAAACATGAAATCTGCCCTCACAGAGGACAGTGAAACCTCCCCAGTATGAAAAACCCTGCCTGTGGCTGAACAGGAGAACATGGGGATGGGATGGTTTTCTCCAAGCAGGCACAGCTCCAGCTTTGGCCTGGGCTAGGAAATGAAAGAGGTTCCTTCTGCAGAAATGCTAAATTTGGTGCAATTTAATGAATTTCCTTTGCAACAAACACTAGCATGGCATTTTCTGGGTAAATGTCCACAGAAACTGGATGTAAAAATAGAACTGGAGCGGGAAGTCATAGGTAAAGGAGATACTGGAAAGGGAACAAATGATTTGGAACAAATGATTTCTAAAAATCCCTGAAAACCATCCTTTTTTGCATTGGTGTTGTTGCTCTGACGAGATGGGCACAAGCAGAATGCGTCCATCTGAGAGAAAGGAGATGGGGAGTTCTTCCAACACCAAGCCTGCAGCAGAAATCCTGGGCTGGAGAGAGCAAAAAGGGCTTCCTTGCAATGCAGGGAGATGTGGGGCAGGAGCTCAGCCCCAGGGCTGGACTCCGCTCCTGCATCCATGGGGAGCAGCCACTCCCTGCAGGGCAGGTTTGTTAATTTGTTGGCAGGCAGCAACAAAATTGATTAAAATTGCAAAATACTTTTTCCACTGACTCATTTCCCTATCGCAATCCTCCATGTAAATATATGATAGCTATTGTATTCCCAGCACTCAGCTCCAGAGCTGGGGAGAGAAAAGGAGCAAAGGGGAAAGGGGCTGAGAACAAGCCCGGGGCTGAATCTGTTCCCCGTCTACCCAGATTTCCCCCCTCCGCCTATTTTCCACTCTTTGCAGTCCTTGCTGATATTTTAAGTCTTGATTTTTTAAATCAAGTGTCCTTTGCTTGTTGAAGCCTGAAGAGTGACTAGTGTTGGCCACCTGAGTATTTTCCTTATCAAAAAGAAAAAAAAAAAGTAAAAAATATGGTCTCTTCTGAGAATGGAAAGCATTTCTTTTCATCTTTCCAGACTGGATGGAGCTTTGAGCAACCTCATCTGGTGGGAGGTGTCCCTGCCTGTAGCAGGGGGGTTGAAACTAGATGATCTTAAAGATCCCTTCCAACCCAAACCATTCTACTATTCCATTCTTTGCAGGCCAGTTTGGTAGTTGGAAAGGATGTTACCTGGAGTCTTTTGCTCAAGGTGTTCTATTGCAGTCAGAGGTGGAAGCTACAGCTCCGTAACTCAACAGTGCTTTTCTCTCATTGAGCCTTTCAAAGTCAATTAAAGGTTTTAGAAACTGCTAACTCTTCAAGAAAAGAGGAAAAAAACACCAATCTGCCCCTCTGTCTGCTGTGGGAGAGCACCTGGAGAAGTAACTGCATTTCTTTCAGTGCCCGTGATTCCCGTTCTCACAACACGGTTGTGTTTCTCAAAGCTGTATGCTGTCACTTTCTATTTACTAACAAAATGCAGTAGTAGTGAAGACCAATCAATAACAGAGGTTAAAACTGCTCCTCCATTTATGAAAGAGATTATGAGCAGCACTAGTTGCACAACCAAAGGGCTCTCCCTGCTGACACAGACACAACACTGGTACCTTCCACAGCACAGTGTCTTATGAAAGAGATACCTCAATCCTCCAAAAATACACAAATGCATTTATTTTCATAATAATACTTTGTTTTCTAAGGGATCAATCCATCCTAATATAGATCATTATTCAGCAAAACCCACCATATACAGAAAGCATCCCCACTAAAGCACTGAATTCCCAGAAACCACAACCTAAGCCCAAAAGTGACACCAATTCTTCTGCCTCTCCCCTTTGCAGGGTTTTAATCAGTAGCCCAAACAGAAACATTTGTGTTGGTAAGAAGATGGCAACAATTAATTTAAATCTAATAACTGGAATGTTTTCACTGGGGAATTAAAGCAAATTATTCCTTTGCTATTGCATCTTTGTCTCATTTACATCTTAATCCCAGTAGGGCTTTGCTCTGATATATCTGGAAAATCTCTGTTATAAGAGAAAAACAACATAGTTGGAGTCCTCAAAGATGCAGAGTTCAGCTATTAACATCAATGGCAGATGTCATAGAATCATTAAGGTTGGAAAAGATCTCTAGGATCACCTAGCCCAACCATAAACCCGTCCCCACTATGCCCACTAACCACATCCCTCAGTGCCACATCTACCCTTGTCCAGCCATACCTAGCACAAACGCCATGCTTTTCCTAAATGACACCAAATGCAGAGCTGAGTGGCATTTCAAATCATGCACAGAAACAGGCAAGAAAAAAAGCTGGGGTGGAAGGTTGTGCTGGAGGTGCTGTCACACACTGATCAATGCAGAGCATGTCACTCATTTGTACTGACAGCAATGGGGACTCCACTGAAGGATGTGGGGTTCAGATCTCCCCACATCCAGGCTGACAAATGCATACCTCCTTGCTCGAGGTAAGCATGCAGTGAAGAAAGGCCCTTTGGTATTGGGGAAGTAAAATTAGAGCTATGTCCCATCTTCCTCCAGTTCGCCTCACCTGCTGAACGATTGCAATTGCTCTCAGAAACCTCCCCATAGGAGCAGGCACCCTTGCCTTGCCCCAAAGACAAGACTGCTCCTGCTACCTTCCATACTGCAACATGGAAGCAAGAAAAAAGAATCAACCAAGGGAAGAGGTTATTTGTGCAACGGGCAGTATGGACAGCTGGGTGCTACATCCCTGCAGATCAGCCCCTGTGCACTTAACACGGGGTGATGCAACACAGTGTTACTGTAGGTGAAAGCAGCCAGGCTCCTGCGTCTGCATTTTCCATGTTTCTTTGCTCTTCTGGCTGACCGTTGTCCAGCAGATCGAGCATGATGCTTTAGTATTAACTTTCAAGGTCTTACACAGATTGTTCCGTAGGAGCTTGTTGAACTTTTGACACTGTACATCCATTTCACCCTATGAGATCAAAGAGAGGAGACGCTGGGTCCAGTGCAGTGTTTGCTGAAGCTTGCTGTAATCCTGGGCTTGCAGAGCGACCTTCCCAATAACCCCTCTGTGCCACAAACATGACCTCATGTAAAGCAGCTTCCAAGACACACTCATCACCTGGGTTGTCCACATAGGGCACTGTGACTGTGGTCTTCAGTGCAGTCAAAATTTCAACCAAAAGCAATATCCAATATTGTTTATATTCCCTGTGCATCCCCTGCACAGCCACGATTCCTCTGACAAGGCTTGCTGCTGCTTCCCTTCTCCCTCAGACACAGCCTCACTGGGTACTGCAGAATTGCCCTATATGTGATGCTCATGTGTGAAAGGAAGATCAAACTGAGTAATCAATTACTTGTTCACAGAATCATAGAATCACAGGGGTTGGAAGGGACCTCCAGAGATCAAGTCCAACCCCCATTGTTCAGATATTTGTATTCCAGGATGAAGCTCCTAAGTCTGTTAGTATTACA